AAGGAGCTGCTACCATTGCGGCCATTCTGGGCAAGCATGGACATGGAGAAACAAGGGCGAGCATACAAGTGTATAGAATCGATCACCCCTAACCAAGGTAACAGCATCGCTCAAGACGGCCCTAACCATCGTGAAGCCCCCGCAGAGTCCTGAACCTGGATAGACAGGTTCCTTGGCATGCTCGAAAAGTACGCCGGGGTACATTTCTACAAAATCAGGCTCTTTGTAGAGGGCCTTCATGGCCTCCTGGGTCTTCGGATCGGGGTTAATGTCCTCGAAGCTCTCGTGAGGTTTGAGGTCCATGAACTTGCGCAGCTCATTTAGCGTGCCGATGTGCCAGCCGCGAGCCTGACTGATGCCAAGCATTACCACGAGCCTGAGCACGACAGGCACTTGGTGCGCCCCAAAAGCGGCTGCAGGGTTTAAGTAAGTAGGGCGCTAAGGTGGATGGAAAGGAGGGGAGCATTTACCGCTAACATCATTTGTACTCTCCGCGATGAGCTTTGCTAGGGCCTGTGTGTTGAAGAAACCGGAGCTGTCGCGCTTCAAGCCTCCAAAAGTGCGGCACTCCGGTTTCTGGGCCACGATTTCCCCCCTCAAGTTAGACAGCCCTGTAAGGAAGTCTCTAAGAGGCAGTTTGGAAACTTCCTGGCCTGGGAACAGCTTTTGGAAGAAGTCCTGAGACCATTTTTCGTCTTGCGCGCTAACAGTGGAATGCCAGCGGTAGATGAGGTTGAACTCAACCGAAACCTGGTTGCCAGTGCTCACGGGGAAACTGCCCTTATCGAAGACTTCGGAGAAGGACCTTCGCGGGTCCAGGACCCAACTAGAGGCGGGAGCGTAGTTCATATTAAGAATTGTCCTTACATAGTCGGAGAGGATGATATTGACGTAGAGGCCGCATGTCACACTGATTAGCTTGTCAGCAAAGCAATACTCTAACCTTAACCCTTGCGCAAACTTAATACGTACAGTCTTGCGGTGTTGAAGAGGCGTTTGTCAACCTCTCTCTCTGCATCTTCCTTGCTCAGCCGTGGATTCGGACTGAACCTTTCCCCCTCGTTAATGCGTTTTAGTTCTCCTGCTACATAGTTATGGAAGCGATTAAATGTGATCAAAAACGCGGAGACGCCGGGCGGAAAGCCCAGAAGACGATGTTCAGAGAAGGTGTCAGGCTTGAGCAAGCCGTCTTTCATAGTGCGAACAGCTTGCTGTTCTTGGACGTTGTTGCCGTACAAGGGGGATAAATCAAGGTAAGAGGAAGTGGATGAAATGTTATAATTCGGATTAGGATCCTTTTTGGTGTCGTCGCCGGTACGGAATAAATCTGATGTCGGTCAGATCAACCTCCCCAAGGTGTGATGCTGGCAAAAAAAAAAAAAAAAAAAAAAAGGTTTTGGGGGGGGGGGAGGAGCCTAACCGTGGATGATAATAGTAGCCATGTAGAAGAGCATGCTCGAGATCTTGTTCGGGTGTTCTTTTGGTGGTCCCTGACGAGCCAGCAGTTCTGTCACGCGTCAGCTCGGGCGAACATTCATTGATTTTGCTGCTTGAGCACGTACTATCGAACACTTCTCCCGGATCCGGGTACGGCCTCCCAGGGGTCAGAGGAGTGACACTTTTTACATATGGCGTGCCTGCCATTCCGAGTTTTGGATACAGGGGGTTCTAGCGGCGAAATGTAATTAGCCAATGGATCGTGTGCTGGAAAGTTCTGTCGCGATAATCATACATTGTTCGACCCGTCGGCGGTGCGATACTCATACTCGTCGCCCAGATATGACAATGGCGGATGTTGCAAGCTATCCCACAATTCCTTGACCAGGGTTCCCGTGAGCTTAGTTTGTATATCTGAGCCGTCGGGCAATGAAGCCGCAAGCTGAATGACACGCTCCATCTGGATTTAAACCTTTTATCAGCAAACCGTCCCTCCCTGCTTCCAAGCAAATGGAATACCCACCAAATACTTATTATCATCAATACCCCCCTTCAAAACCTTCGTATGGGCAACATCAATGAGGATTCCAATATCCTCATCGATCCTGAGGGTCTGACTCTGCACATCCTGGAGGAGGCCTTTGTGGTTTTGCAGAAAGTCAACTGT